TCACCTTTACTCTCCCGCTGCTGAGCGGGGTGGCCATTCCCACCTGGAATTTGCACATAAGGTAACCACAGCCGTTAAATACCAAACGGTGGCCTCCAACCACAGTCAGAGCAGTGCTCCTCTGCCTCTGACGTGCATAGCAACCACCTGGGGATCCTGTGAGCAGTAGGAGCCTGGGAAGGAGGCCAGAGCATACAGCTGATGCCTCCGGGCACAGTGGCACCAGCCACAGGCAGCAGGGCAGCCTGCAGAGTGTTTCCCCTCCTAAATCACAGTGCCCCAGACTGGACGCCCCTTCACAGAGGCAGAGGAGGAATCAGAGGCTGTCAGCACAGGAGGTCACAGCAAATAGTGAGTTGCGCTGTGCCAGCAGCTTGCTGGGCGCCGTTGGGCATTCCCAGCTCTCGTTGCTCCTCAGATTCTCCAGGGGTAAAAGGGCACGTGTGATTTGACACTCTCTGAGGCTCCTTTCAGAGGAAATAGCCCAACACCCCACACTGCGACCCTGCTCTCTCCAGAAAGAGCACCAGGAGCTCCGTTCCCTGTGTGCCTTGCCTCCTGGGTGCCTCACAAGTACAGTAGCGTCAACCACAGTTGAGTTTTCTCCATGTTCAGAGAAGACTCCTCAAGTTTCCTCACTGGCTAACTCCCCAGGCCCATTACTGAAACTAGAAAAATCTGCTCTGTGTATTGAGGTGGAAGGTGGAGGAAGAAAACCGAAATCACCCAGAACAATGTCCTTTGGCAATTTGACTGAAATCACTGAATAGCCATGATATTTTTCTTTCCATTCATCTTCCTTCCTCTTCCCAAGTCTAAAAATCCTGTTTGTTTTTTTTTTGAATTGGGAGAGACATGGTGAGGGAAGGGGGAGAACACACAAAAGAATCCGTCTTTCATTGTTTGGAAGCCAAACGTCAAATCTATGGAGCTAAAAAAGTTATAGTAAAAATAGCACTATGAACAGCAATAACCAAATTCTGCCTATGAATGCTGTATTCCCCAACAAGGGTCTTTAGAAGCCAGGAGTCTAAGTGCAGATGAACATTTAAGCAGCATTGTCTAATTTCTAAGTGGTCATACTTCCCAGCTTTGCTTTGCTTTTGATACTAATGTCTTGCAACACTCACAGTGACTTCTGCAGTTAGAATCTTTTTCAGCCTCACATTCACAAGGAGAATGCAGCTGGTCAACAAGCACTAGATGATGTCACCTGAATTTTGGTCAGCCTAACCAACCTCAAGAGAAATTGGCTTTTCAGGAAGAGTGACGCTTTCTTAGGGATGAGAAAAAAATATGAAACGAATGGAAAATATCGTGCAACAATGCCAACCGCACAAAACACCATCTGTGAGAGCCACTGCCCAAGAAAGGCAAACTAAAACTATTCAGAGTAGTTAAGCCTTCCTTTAGGTGCCTAGTAGATATGGTAATTATCTCCATTTTACAGAAGAGGAAACAGGTACAGTGAGATTTTGTGGCCAGACCTACGTCTTTCCTAGCTGGTAGGTGGTGGGAGCTGCAATTTCAAGGGAAGTTTGGCTCCAGAACCACCACTCTTCATTATTCTGCTCTCATTTTGGGTGAAAATTGGATCAAGATCCGGGAAACCCGATCACATCCCTAGTATGGTGAGGAGGATTAAAGGGAAAATGACTATGAGGGTCCTGGTTGCCCCACTTTCTGTCAGTGTGATGCAAGCCTTCCAGCTGGGAAGGGAGAAATGAAACACATCTTTTCCCCCACCTGAACTAGAGGAGGCATTTCCAGACTCCCAGGAAAGGCTGCATCCACTTTCTGGCTAATGGCAAGGGTGCATGGGCCCTCCACCCCATCTCCGCCCACCTACCACCTTCACTCTGTCTCTCCAAACCAGAGGCGGGTACTTACAGCCCTGGGCAAGCCCTGAAATCCAGCTCAGAGACCAAACATGGGAAATTAAACAGTTTGCAAAGAATGAAATTTGGCCCATGGAAGGTGCCTGCAGCTGGCGGTTAACACCAGCAGTAAGAGGATCAACTTCTAGTCTGCTGGCTTAAAAGCGGGGGTGGGGGGTGAAAAGTGTGTGTGCTCCCTTTTACCCATTCACATTAGTTAATTTGGATGATAAGGGTTTGTGTTTAATCCCCTTGTGTGCGGGTGAATATACTGAAATCGACAACCCCTGACAGGGCACCCGGCTGGCAGAGCAACCTTCAGGAGGGTGCGGGTGGTGTCCAATCTGGCATGAAGTAGAAAAGAAGTGAGATGAGGAGACTGAAAGCAAGATGGAGGGGACACCTTAGGGGTGTGTGGTGCCCACTGAGCCCCACTTCCCAGGAGGAAGCAGGTGGGCCGCTCCCTATCTCCCAAGCCCTGGCACCCCGGGCCAGCCTCTGCGCCCTAGAGGCTCCTGAAGTCCCACCAGCGAGCAGGGCGCCTCTTCAGCCACCTCTGCCAAGGACTGGCAACCCCCAAAGGGAGAGCAGGGGCCCCACAGTCCAGCAAAGGTAGAGAGAATTTAGGCGAGGTGGGGAGCAGAAAAGGACAGAAATATATCCAAGGAGAGGTCTCTGTCGTTCTCAGATGGACCAGACCGGAAAAAGGTTGAGAGATGGGTGGCTCTAGAGCAGGTCTTAAAACAAAAACCATTTTTATACTTTCCATCTACATGAGGGCTCAGCCCCCACCCACGCCAGCACGCCTGGAGCCCCCCCAGTGAGGGCTCCCAGGCGGCAAATGTGAGGGAGCCCTGTCAGTGGGGGAGGAGGCCCCCGGCCGCGGAGTCGGGCTGCCCGCGGAGGCGCAGACGCCCGGGGAGTTCCCCGCCGCCGTCGCCCCCCTCCTTCCCCTTGGGCCCGTCCAGCGAGTTTCCTCCTTCGTTTCTGTTCGTGGTTTCCCTCCCTCCTCCTCCCCCGATATATTCGCTCTCTAAAACCATAAAAAAGAGATCAACTTCCCTAACTTCACGGAGCCCTTTTCAGTGACAAATATTGATGCCCAAAGTGTCTGCGCTCTCCCGCCCCCAAACGTTAAGAAAAGGCGCCCGCGAAAGGGGGACATAAAAAGTTAACAATGCTGTGAAAATATGTTTGCAGAAAATAGACAATCGTTGGATTAAACGTATTCAAGTATGAAATAATGCCTTTTTGTGTCAAAACTTGGGCGATGGGCGGGTACAAAAGTTCCCTGTGGCAGCTACTTGCTCCCTTTGTGAGCCGTGCGCTTTGGCGTCTCCACTTGGGCGCATTACTCAGAGCCCTCTAAGCGCGATTGTTTCTCCCTTTCTAATGACATTTACCGGATCAAAACATGCTGTTAATTCGATCAGAAGGCTTCACCCTCCCTGACAAAGCCACAATAATTTCTCCTGAAGTTTGTTAAATTGACCAAAATTAGGCAAATGAATAGGGGTCTGTAGGCGCCCCCTCTCGCAGGTGACGTTGCATAATGCTCGCCTGGGCCAGCTGCATTCCCCCTTTTCTTTTTGCCCACTCTTCTCCGTATTGCCCCCCAATCCTCCCACCCCTCCCTCGCTCACACACACACACACGCCTGCTGTCTCTCCTCCCCACCCTCTGCCATTATTAAAATTTGGTCCAATGAAACTATTCATACTTTTCAATGGACATTTTCGTATAGGATAATAGGCTACAAATTGAGCCTCTTCCCCCCGCAAAAAGAGAGCCCGTGGGGGGAGAAAAGAAAGCAAGGGACGTGGTCAGGGGCTAAGAGGGAAGCGTCGCGTGCCAAAGACTGGCGGGAGGGGCGAGGCGAGGAGGGAGCCTCGTGTGCCAGCCGCAGCCCCACACCTGCCGGGATGTCCGGACAAATAAAGCGGTGTAAACAAAAAGGGGGGAGATGGACGTGTCACCAAGTCGTGTGAGAAAAGCCTGGGAACAAACGGGGCGCCTCTGTCTCCAAGAGCTCTCCCTTGAACCCGGCGGAACAGCCTATTAAAGGCTTACTTAATTACTTTAATGACTCTGGACAGGCTTTAAAACTCACTGGCGCTGGGACTGAGGGCTTGCTGGGATTTGTAAACAGGCAATCGTGTGAGACTCAGCGGTGGGACTAAAGGAGGCGACACTGTTTTGTGAGGGTCCTCGCCCCCCGGTGCCTGCGGCCGCTGCGCCCCTGCGCTCCGCGCGTATGGCTGCTGCAGGCGCTCACTCGCCTGCAGGCCCGTTTACCACCTCCTTTTCCCTCCCAGGCGGTTGCCAGGCAAATATTAGTCCCCCGCCGATCACGTGTCCTTTGAAGGGCCACGTGGATTAACAAAGCTTATCTGCCCCCAGTTCACCCCCCCTCGGCTGCTAAATTTTTTTTCTTAACTTCTTTAAAACCGATCTTGAATGCATGGATCCCCCAAACGCAGCTCCCCTAATCCTATGGAATAATTCAGCTCGTGAATGCACTTGGAGCACTAGATGACCGCTTTATAAGGCAGCCCCTCGGAGTTGGACAGCTGCAGTGTACCTGAGACACTCGAGGCGGCACAGGAGGCCGAAGGTGGACGGGTGCCTTGCGGGGCGCGTGCTGACCAAGATGTCAGACAAGTTCAAGGAACGCAAAGTGAGTTGGCTGAACCCAGACCGCTCTTGCCCTCTGACAGTGGGGGCGTCTGACACCCTGAGCTGCCACCTGGCTGAACCAACGGCAGGGACTTCTCGTGTGCAGGAACCCTGAGTGGTTTGGAAAAGGAATGAAGATATGGAAAGTAAAGTCCTCATCCGGGCAGGGCACCACCCCCCGGGGATTGGTGGCCACCTCCCCAATGCCTTGGCGCTCCGTTTGGCAGTGTGGCCCGAGTGGGTAGGGAGGCTGGCAAGGAAGCGCGCCAGCGCAGGCGTGAGACGGCAGAGCTCTCTTGACCCTAGTGTGGAGGGTCATGGACCCCTTACCGGGAGCGGGTCCCTGGGCAGCGCTGGGGGCTGGGAAGACGGTTGGCACACAGCTACAGCCGCGCCTTGGACGACATCCCGGGCAAAGCTAACCTAAACATACAAATCTGTTCGCAGAGAACCCCCGTTTCCCACAAAGTGATAGAAAAGCGGAGGAGGGACCGGATTAATCGCTGTTTGAACGAGCTGGGCAAGACAGTGCCCATGGCCTTGGCGAAGCAGGTAACATGGGGGCGGCCAAGATACGGTGCTTGCCCGGGGAATCCTCCGGTCACTTTCAGCTGGGATGCCTGGACTCTGGAGAAGGAAAGGGCCTTTCATGTGGGCTTCCCTCCCCGGTGGCCTGAGCGCGGAGTGAGCCCTACGTGGCCCTCGTGCAGACCCACAGCAGCGCCCTGCTCGCTGGTGCTCCCCTGATAAAACCGGGCACCCAGCCTGCTGAAGTGGGCCTGAGCCCGCTGGGTGGCTACGAGGAGCCCTTCCTCCCTTTGCAGAGTTCCGGGAAACTGGAGAAGGCGGAGATCCTCGAGATGACCGTTCAGTACCTGAGGGCCCTGCACTCCGCTGATTTTCCTCGGGGAAGGGAAAAAGGTGGGCGCGAGCTGGACACAGGGCACTCTGGGCAGGAAGCGTGCGCCACGGATTCCTGGGGGTGAGAGTGCGAGCGGAGCGGCGCTAGCCAGACTTCCTCCCTGGGTTCCGCCAGAGCAGGGGTGGGCCGGGGTCCTGCGAAACCCAAGAGGGGCTGGAGAACCAGTTTCTGGGGATACTGGTCCCATCGCCTCCCTCTCAGGGGGGGCCAGGTTCTTAAGGAAAAGGAGGTCGTTGCATGCGCTTTTCCCGTCTCCAGACTGGGAGAGGGGAGGGTGGACCTCAGATGGTAACTCGGGCTAGAAAACTTGCCTAGAGGTGCCTGGCACACTCCTCGGGCTCCCGGGTAGGGAGGAGGCCGCTCACTTTTTTTTCTTTCTTCGTATTTTCTTGCCCCACCAGCAGAACTGCTTGCGGAGTTTGCCAACTACTTCCACTACGGCTACCACGAGTGCATGAAGAACCTAGTGCATTATCTCACCACCGTGGAGCGCATGGAGACCAAGGACACCAAGTATGCGCGCATCCTCGCCTTTCTGCAGTCCAAGGCCTGCCTGGGCGCCGAGCCCGCCTTCCAGCCGCTGGGCTCGCTCCCGGAGCCGGATTTCTCCTATCAGCTGCACCCAGCGGCGCCCGAGTTCGCGGGCCACGGCCCGGGTGAGGCGTCTATGTTCCCGCAGGGCGCAGCCGCGGGGCCCTTCCCCTGGCCACACGGCGCGGCCCGCAGCCCGTCGCTGCCCTACCTGCCCAGCGCGCCCGTGCAGCTCCCGAGCCCCGCGCAGCAGCACAGCCCCTTCCTGGCGCCGGTGCAGGGCTTGGACCGCCATTACCTCAACCTCATCGGCCACGCCCACCCCAACGCCCTCAACCTGCACCCGCCCCAGCACCCGCCGGTGCTCTGACGCCAGTCGCCGCCTGAGTTCTCCGCGCTTCGGCGCTGCTTGGGAGAAACACTGTATATTGTACAGGTGTAAATATTGAGCCAACAAAAAAGCTGGGTGGGGGGAAGGCCAAGAGCGAAGTTAAGTCTTCTAAAGAATCTCCCCCTGGCAATAAACGTTTCTGATAAAGACCCCAAGGGATGGGCTTCTTTGTTTCCTCCTACTCCCCCACAAACCCACCCGCTCCGAGGTGCCGAGGGCACAAGGCAGAGGGAGGCGACGGCGACGGCCCTCGGTACCTGGGCGGGGGGAGGGCGGCGTGCCGAGTTTGCGGTGAGGAGCTAAGGAGGGGCGGGTTCGCCGCTTTCCTGCGGGCTCCAGCCCCGCACCCGCCTCGCGCTCAAAAGGGCATCTTCCTCGAAGAAGGGAGGACGCATAGACCAGAGTCCTTGGCTCTCGGAGAACGCAAACCGAAGGACCCTCCCCAGACTGGCTTTAGAGGACTTTCGCCAGCTGGGCCTGGGCGCCCTTCCTAGCCCGAGACGAGGCCTCGGGATGCGCCTACCAAGCGCCCGGAGGTTCGGAGCGCGGCGAAAACTCAGGCCAGCAAGATGCGCGACTAGGTTTACAGCCTGAACGCGCCTCTGAAAAATACGAACGGGAAGTAATTTCTGTTATGGCTTAAAAACAACATCCAAAGTCTGGTTTTGTTTTTCGGATCACAACTTCTTGCCGCCGGATTGCCTTTTGCGCATTGATCGGCTCGGCATCCGGGGCGCTAGGCAACCGGTTGAGAGGCCCGCTCGACCCAGTCGGGAGATGGGCTGCCCCAAGGATTGTCCCCTCTGCTGATCCCCACCCTCCAGACCTTGTCTCTGGGTTCTCCGCGCAGGTTCTCAGGCTTGCTGAGAAAAGGCTTCCGTCTCCCACTTTCGGGGAGGGCAGATTATGTACCCTTCTTGCTCCACCCAGAACATAGTGAATAAAGTTTGGGGTCTAAGGGAGCCAGCTAGTGATCTTGTGGTTTTCAATTGGATCTGCGCTTTCCCTCCCACAAAATGGCAATACATTAAAAAAACCAAATCATGTTTTCCTAAAACGCAAGCAGCGAAAGCAGACTCTTTTTTTCTGTAAACAGATAAAAATGAACAAGGCATCCAGCCTGCTAAAGTTGTGTTTGCATCGGTTTAAATTTTTTTTCCTTCACTGATTTTCTTCTTTGTTCTCATCTTTTCTCTTTGTTCCGGGTAGCTTTGATGCCCTTTAAATAAATAATCTGAAATTAGGTAGCAGGTTTTCCAATTTCCAGAGGCCATTTAGAGGAACTACAGATGATTTGTCTTCTCCCAGATTAACTGGAGGAAAACAAATTAACTATAGACAGGATTTAAGGGAGCTCTGACCTGGACTGTTTACTGAGGTCATGGCATAGGATGACCTGCAATTTGTAAACCACCAAACTTGATTATACAGAGACAGGAAAAAACAGAAAGCAAAAAACCCCACTTCATTACATTGCCCACAGAGTGAAACTTAAATGTATGTTTTGGGGGGCATGGGTGCAGGGAATCTATAAGCTTTAGAAAAGGACTTGCAAGTAAGGGTTCTTGCCTTTATATACACTACGTGTCACTATAATTACTTATCTATACATGTGAGATGCAGTTACCTCCTCCCTTACGAACTGGTATGACATAGGTGGAGCCTAAAAGTGAGTATAAGACCAGGAGGCCTTCAGGATAACAATCATACATTGAGCAAAATGGGATGAAAACAAATCATGCAGAAATGGGAGACTGCATGGTGCCTATTATTGGAACACATGTCTTACACCCATTTTCATCAGTGTTGGATACAGAATATGAAGAAGGCCTTTCAGGTTTTTTTCTCTGAGCAGTAAGCCAGTCTGAATTCCCTCCGGCAGTGAAGCATTAAAAATACAGTGTTACCCTGGAAATATAAATTATTAATATATTCAGTATTTTTGTCACTTCACAACTGTTAACCAAATTAGACAAAACTTTCTTTTACTAAGTAGATTTTCTCTTCGGGATTAGCTTTCGGAATGCACAGGGCCACCACAGTAAAAACTTTGGTCATTTACATATAATTTTGCAAACTTCCACTGGCGCATGACAGTCTTTGTACCTCAAATGTTGGTATTCTTGATTTTTTTTTCTTTCTCATTTAACTGTGGAGGATAAAACCCTGCTTTGGATTTACAATGACTTTAGGATAAAAGTCTCCCTCCCCTTTCTCTCTCCCTCTTTCTGTGCGTGTGTGTGTGTGTGTGTGTGTGAGTGTGTGTGTGTGAGTGAGTGTGCCTGTGTCCTATCTTTTTCTAAAACCTTCATCCAAAATTCCAATTCTGCAGGCTTGGCCTAAAGTCAAACTTGGAATAGCCTGACTTTGCTGAAGATTAAAATTGTCACTACTAAATGGAATTGATGCAAATCTGACTGTGACTTTAATGTGTCCTTCCTATGCTTTCTCTGACAACACATTCCTTCCAGCCTCCCTGTCCCAAGTCCCCGACATCCTCCCCCCTCTGTCTGAGTCTCTTAGGCCCAATCCCTCTACTCTTTCTTTTAAGTAAGTTGTATAGTAATGGTTTCCAAGAGAGGCTCAACCAAACCCAGAAATAACAAAAAACAAAAAACAGTGGGTTTGGCTGGAGGTAACCCATTGTGATGCCTCTGAAAGGGGCAACCTCTTGTTTCTTGGGCTTCATCCTTGAGTGGGCAAGAATAAAAATAATCATCCCCATGAAATCAAAGGTTTTCTCCAGAGGCTTGAGGAACAAAGCTGGTGGCTGGTGCTCTGGGCCAGTGCCGGTGGCTCTGCAGGGCTAGAACCAGGAGTTTCCAGGCACTCCAGCTGCCCCTGCCAAAAGGGTGGTGGTAATACAGAGCTCACTTGTGCTCCCAGGCGTTTTTGAACAACCACAGCTCCAAATATTGTGGGGCCTCCAGTCTGGGATGCTAGCTACCAGGCAGGGAAGGTGGGGGAGCCGCTATGAAGTGCCTAACTGACCCCACAAAGGCATGGACTTCCTAGGAACCTGGGAATGGGTGTGTATATAGAGTAACACACCAAGGAAAGTAGGGCAGTGTGGTGCATGCATAGGAGCTAATAAGTATCTGTGGAATGACTGAGTCAACTGCCTGACAGTGCCAAGTCTCTTGGAGTTTTGCACCTCCTCAGACCTGGTTTATGGCTCTCAGTCCTGTTCCCACTTTGGCAAAGACCAGAAAGTAGTTGGGCACCTACTCAGAAACCTTTGGAGTAATATATACGAGTTATGAGGGTGTCAAGGAAAGAGGGGAAAAGAATGCCTTTGCCTAGAAATTCTACCTTGTGGTCTGGCAGCAGGAGACAATGCTCAGCCTGCTTGGTTAAGGCAGTTAGCTCTTCTCAAAGGCCCAGCTAAAGGCAGACCCTAAATCCAGAACTTGAATTCAGAACTAGCCTGAGGAGGGCCCTGCTATTTTCACGTGGGAAAGATCCAAGACGGCTGACACTCTCTTTTCTGCACAGTTAATTGTTCAGTGAGGCTTCTGGAGTTAGACTACCTGGATTTGCCTTCCAGCTCTGCTGCCTACTAGCTGTGCCCTTGGGCAAACTGCTAAACCTCTCTGTGTCTGTTTCATTATCTATAAAATAAAGATATTAAAAGTGCCTATACCTCATAGGGTTACTATGAGGATTAATTATGAATTGGTACATTTAGAGCACTCTAGACAGTGTCTGGTCCACAGTGAATGTTCAACCAATATTAGCCGCTATAATTATCTATTCCTCTCTCCTTTCTGCCAAGCAGTCAGATCCTTGGGGCCATCTCAAACTAAAAAATAAAATGTCAAGGCCATCATGAGAAAGTCTTAAATCCCAGGCTCTTTATTAAACCCCAAGGCTTGTTCTGAACAAGGCAATATTCTTCATTTAGAGCAAGTGGGGGAAGGGAGCTCATCCCACAGTCAGCTAGGGGGCTGTGAGCCCTATTCCAAGTTCCTGATTGGTAGTCAGAGCCACCTAACAACTTCGGAAGGCTCTCTCTCACACTCTTTCATATACTGAAATCTGGCCTTACATCATTTTGCACCAGCTCATACCTGCATTCTCACATTCTCTCTCCAATTACACATTCTAATGCTATTATGTAAATGTCTGGCTGTTACAAAGAACATGCGGTAAGTAAACTGATTCAATATTCCTTAAATACACTTTCTATGGCAGCTTTGTGTTCTCAGCATTTCCCCCTTTTTCCTCATTCAGGTCTTTTATCTATGCCACTCATCCCCTGTCTGCTGCACTCCCAGCCCCGGACTCCCCTGGATGCAGGTCAAGTCCTCACTCTGCCCAGGTTTCAGATTGCTTGGCTCCTGATACCTGATTCTTCAGCCTGGAGAGAGGAGAGAGGAGAGAGAGAGGGAGAG